CAGAATGGAGAAGTAAGCTAGTGCCTGGTCGTCGCCGGAAGATGACGTGGTAAAGACCAAGAAGGTGATCGCCCCGATAAGACGGGATAAGCTCAGCATGAATATTCCGCCACAGCCTAGCATCAGGATGCGATCGCTATTCCCCAGTCCACGAAGTAATGATATTCCGCGTTTTACAGGAAAACGATGTGACCTTTTATTTGCGGTATACGATTGGAAATGGAGCATGCCGATAAGTGGAATGCCAGAGGAAATCTCGCAACACCATTCCAAATAGATTTGCGTGTTCATTGAAAAAACAATGAGATTTGTAAAAAATCTAAGAATTGTAACTGCAGTGATATTGATTAGAACTCCGAGTAAGAGTCCCAGGAACAGTTTCAGGAGAGTCTTTTTCAAATCATGTTTTCTATGATTGTTCTGTAGAGATAAAGATTCTATGTCAGCTGAAGATCTGGCATCTCTGTTGAAAAATAGGTTTTGATAGTTAAGTCTTTGTGAACAAAAAGTTGAGATCCTCTTCCAAATTGGTTTAGATTTCTGGCTAGACAGAAAATCGAATGACGGACTGGCACATGATGACAGTTTCAAAACCCCCTCTGGTAAGGTGCCACTCCACATCTGCATAATGATGCCAGCTCCGATTATAGCACACTCTACTATAAAGGGTTCAACTATTTCCTTAAAATCCAAAACAAACTCTCCAAATGTTCCGTTCAATTCGCATGGGCAGGTTGGATGATGCGGGGGTTCATTTCCGGCAGCAAGTATAGACCAGATACAGCCAGCGAATATGTATCCTATGGGGTAACAAAATTTTCCCCTTTTGATGAAGACAGCGTCGTAATAAGAGGTGAAAAAGAACATTGCAATAACTAGGTAACTCCCAAAAGCTCCATTCAGAAGAGCTTTACCAATATAAGACACTTTCCCTCTATATGTCGCACTAGGCCGTAAGACGCACAACACAGCCGCAACTATCACAAAAATACTCCTGGCCAAGGACAGGATCGCTAATATTATGAAGACTCGCAAGGGAGATTTGTGTGGACTTTTAAATAGAGGCGTCGAATGTAATTCCGTCTCTTTATTATAACCTCCGGGTTCACCATTTCTATTTTGCGTGTGATCCGCATCGGCGGTAGATCTACTACGTGTATCTCCGACGTGAGACTGATTATCCGTAATGGTCTGTGGCGTGGAGTGGTTCTTATTCGTAAGTATGTTTGGGCTTTCAGTGACCGGGGTCCTTCTTTTAGAATTTGTACTTGGTGAACTGATTCCAAGATCAGTCGGGTCATGGTGTCCAGACGCAAGACTCTCAGTAGAAACGGAAAAACTGGTTGACGGGATTACGAATGACGGACTTGTACATTTTTGGACAACGCCACTGTTCTCTTGTTCAAGTGGAAAAGCCAGTTTTATACGGGTGTCAGCTGGCTCGTCGCTTGCCAGTATGCCAACGGCTCTGGCGCAATGACGACAGCGCATCGGCCAAAACACTTCTTGAGCCTGATGGTGTACAGTCTTACCGCGAATGAATCGAATCATGATGATATCATTTACCAGTACGTTAAGAATCACCCCTGCAGCTGCGACCAAGTTAACCACATCCTTTACGTCGTTTGCATTGTCAAAATGGCTGGCAATAAGTGAAGGGAAAACATCGCAACTAATCCCCAAACTGACAACGAAAAAAATCACGAACGTTGCGTCGAATGGTGCTAATTGTGCAAATTGTTGATCCATTTTTGGTGTAATTTGACGATGCGATTCCTGTCTGATGTGTAACACGCTTACCGTAAAAGCCTATCTCAATTATTCCAGGTCCACCTTTACTCTATGAGTTTTGTCAAGTGTTAGGTTGTGTGGATTCGCTCTTCCCAGAAGGGTACCTTAACAGAATTAGATGCGATGGAGTATAAGAGGAAGTATTACGGTAAATATATATATACTATATTCAAATAAAAACTGAAACTGTGATAAAATTACGAATAAAAAATGTGATTTATGTAGTATCGGGATCATTGATTTTGTTGTTACATGTTTTCCTCTTTTCCCCAACTTGCATATCGCCATTTGTTCCATTGTATTCTTTCTTCTTGGTTTCATTGTCAATGTCCCAATTTCCCCTCTCTCTCTCTCTTTCATTCACACACAAACACACACAAACTTCAACAGCATGCACACAGTTTATGAACTTTCAGGTTAATCAAGCCCATCACCGTGATCAAAGATAAAAAGGTAAATAGTCCCCCCCCCCCCAAAGAAAAAAATAAAATAAAAAATACATAAATAAAATTAAAACCTAATAAAATAAATAAATAAATAAATAGATAAATAAATAAATATATAAATAAAATACATAAATAAATACAAAATGATAATAATTAAATAAATAATTGAGGTATAATAATAATTACTTAATTTATAAATTTTCACAAAAAATATCGGCCTCAGATATTTGAATCTTCTTCATTTTTAAATGTTTTTGTAAAATTGTTTTTTTTTGTTGTTATGTTAATTGAACTTGCATCTTCAGTCCTTGGGTTGCGTATACTGTTAATGACAATGAACCGCCACAATTACGCTTACGATTCGATTACAGCAGTTTTACATGATTTTTTTTATTCAATGTCTGTTTAAATATGCAATGTATTCCTCACTAATTACAAGTCAAATGCAATTACTATTAGCTGGTATTAACCATAATTCCTCGACATCTCCTCTCGAAAAATTGTATTCAATATTGTAGTTTAGAGCAGCAAAATTAAAGTCAATTATTACAAGAAAAGATGGCATATACGCTTCCCATGGATAATGTGCTTGCAAATTTAATATACAATTTTAAGGATGGTTTGGCTAGTAAGTGAGTGATGGGGAAAGCTTGTGAAAGTAAATAAGAAATTCACTTTATTCGCATGATGAATTTCTTCAACTTTCCCACCCGACCAGATGCAAATCAAATGTTTCTATTGCAAAATGGCCCGGTTAACAATTTACACCCTGCCGTGATCGATTGGACTTGTAAATCTCCTGCTCATGCTATATTTCTTCCTGCTAGATATGCATAGATTCTCAACCGCATATGTTTTCATACTCTTGGAACTCAATGTGAGTCCAATATTCCTACGGTTCATCGATGTTGTTGTAAATATGCGGGTCTTCTGATGTCGTGTTAGCTCATCATTGACCTTCGCCATGTTCACGTAATAATAATAATAGCAGCTAGTTCTTATATAACGCTTTTCAGGACCGAAGGCCCTCTCAAAGCGCTTTACATATGTATATATATATATATATATTATTACCCCGGTCATCGGATTCAGGCATACCCGCACACAATGTATGCACATTGTCCAGTCCCTGGGGAGCATTCCAGCCAGGCGTCATTTTTTTTTACAAGCGCACACTTGCTAATCTAAGCATATTACCTTTCGCTTCCTACCGGGTACCCATTTAACACCTGGGTTGAGAGTGGCAAATGTAGATCAAAGTCTTGCCAAAGGACATTAGTTCCCCGTTGGGACTTGAACCGCGGACCTTGTGATCCACAGTCCGGTGACATATCCACTCGTCCATGACACCTGTATACACCATGATCATATAAAGAGGCCATGTCCGACCGCACAACTGTCGCGCTAGTCATCTTCGGAAGGAACTCGATGTCTACTAGTCCTTTCTTTGAATTCTCCGACATGTCGTAGAAGTCCTGTATCCGTCCAGGGTTGAAAAGTCGAAGACCATACTCCTCTTTGACAGACTCCAGTCGTTTAAGTCCCTTTGAAAAGGAGAGTGGTGGAGATCTTTCCTTCTTCGAGCATACCTCCATACGCAACCCAGTGAACTTAGTTCTGGGGTAAGTGGGTGGCCCTTCAGTCATTCTTGACGGCTCTAGTAATTTTACCTTGTGAGCAGTCTTGGGATGACCTTGCTCCAGTCATTTTGGGTTCTACTAAGAAGGGGAGAGGTGGAGATCTTTCCTTCGTCGAGCATACCCCCATACGCACGCCAGTGAACTTAGTGGTTGGGTACGTGGGTGGCCCTTCAGTCATTCTGGACGGTCCTTTGTGATTTAAACTTGTGGGCAGTCTTGGGTTGCCAATTACCATTTGCACGTAAGTACTAATAACTTGTAACCAGACAATTATTCCTGTATTAAAGAACGGATCTGTCAGCATAAATTTCAACGTATAATTCACATGCAAGTCATGCCAAATACGATTCAATTCAGATTGTATGCAATGCAAATAGTTTAAGAGCTTAAATATACATTACATTAATATACTTTCGTCCGTCAACAAATAATTCAACTGAGTGATACTAGCTTAAAGTATGGATAGTATATGCAGTGTTATGTTAACAATTCTAAGGACAGGTTTATGATGTAACAGTATTATATCACTAATATCAAACTGAATTCTACTCCAAAGTGTACATTTTCTTTTCTACGAAAACATGAGAAGTAATTCTATTCCGGGGTAAACACAAAATTGTCTTTTAAGTACTTTCAATCTAGGATAACCAGCAACCATCCAAGTCCAATTCAAGTTTGAGTAAAAATACTCGATTGTCTATCTTCTTCTTGCCAACTACATAATCTACCTTCTTGGTCACCGCACAAGGGGTATTTCACTAATAGGTCCCTAGTCTAATGTGCTAGCTCACCTTGTCGGCACCAATGTGACTTTAAATACAGAGGTTTTCAATTTCCACTTATCGCCAACTCCGGAATTAACTAATACATTTTAACGTACTTTAATCCAAAGAAAACCGGTTTATCTAAGAATTCGTCCCTTGCTGTATGTAAAGCAGTTGTAAACCTACATTTAACTGTCCAATATCGATAATTATCACAACTTTGTATTAGCTGTAATTAACTATATTAATCAACGTTTCTTACTGTACAAATTATGAGTGCCAAGAGAGAGTATGAGAGAGAGAGAGAGAGAGGGAGAGAGAGAGAGAGAAAGAGAGAGAAGTGCGTGTGCGTTTAAAAATAAATCTCAATAATTTTTTTAAATAGAGTTTTCATTTAGTTCTTTTTATTTATATATTTTTTTTTTTTTTAGCCACATTGCCTAAAAGTTGTTTGTACAGAATAAAGAGCTGAACTCTTCGAATTATATTTGTAAGGTTTTGGGTAAAGCATTGCCCGACCTGTCTGTTCCAGAGTCGATGAATATTAATTGAGTTTATGTTTAAACTTGTAATATCTCTTGTAATAGTAGCGGCATGGAACCCCTAACATCCAGAGGGAAATATTCTGTTGTTGTCGATTTGTATATATTAAAGGATAAAGATGAGTTCTTGTCACGCTATTGCATTATAAAAGAAACTGTGTGGAGGCTATTGGAAACGGTTGATCATATACTAGCTATTAGGTATACATTTTGGACTTTCAGAATCATGAAATCTATCAGAAATTGGCCCAAGTCTTGCTAAAGGTCACAAGTATTGTGCACAGAAATGTGTTAATGGGACTACACAGACATGTGGCACAACAGTGTGTCCACAACTTTTAGCTGTAACTTGTCATATTGTGAATACGAGGACATTTGAGAGGCATCCGTTTTAGGGGACACCTTTTCTTTGATGCTTTATCGCACTTACATTGAAATGAATAAAAAGCTCAAACTTTTTATTCATCTTTCCCCGAAGAAGACCCCCTTAAAAAAAAAAAAAATCAAACTAATCAGAAGATGGACTGAGGTTCACATTCTCGAAGTCAAATCTGAGCTTCCATGGTAGTATGTGGCTGTAAACAAAAATGAAAAGAAAAACAATATTAGAAATTCTTCAATTTAGGTATTAGATATTTAGGCCGTTAGAGCGACAATGACATGGACCTTGAGACACAGATTCTCCATACTTTTCTGTTTAAACGTGTTCTAGTTAGCAGCTCAAATGACATTCCCGATCACTTTTTGATGTTATCAGTTAATTTTCTAGTTCGTATGCACCTCTTTCGTTCTCATTTTAGTTCCTCTTTGCAAGATGGAGTTTGTCAAGCCATTCTTCCATGTTTTAGAAACAGAAATGGAACTCCGCATTGGCAATCGAAACTTATCATAAAATGGAAGTCAACAAATGGTAAGAATCAGGTGTATGACAGTCATGGGCTATAGCAAGCAACCACTTATGCTAAGTTGTTTTAACAATGCTGTAATACATTGAAACCCCAAGCACAGACACAATTATGTTGATGTGTATAACACATCAATCAAGGTTGAATTGGAAAAAAAACAGACAAACAAAGAAACACATGGATGACAGTTTGAAGTTTGTATTCCTGCTGCCTCTCTCATATTTATGCTTTCCCTCAGAGCAGTTTTTTATGATCGAGACCGAGTTCCTGTTTTGCCTTTAATATACAGACCTATATATTGATATTCATGATTGCTCATAGAATAATTACAACAAAATCTTCATTCCAGATGTCTAATACCTAACCTCTATTTTTTGTTTTTTGTTTATTTCGAGGGGATGTTTTTCTCTGATATTCTAATGAACTAACAACTTTTGTCTAGGGCTAGTCTCCATATAAAAAGTCACAATTAGGTGTCCATAAGATATTTGTTGAATTCATAACCCACCTCTTCTTGGCTCTTTGGAGCATGACCAACACAGGATGGAGATAACTGCCCGATGTAGCCCGGATTCGAGTAAGCTACTTTCATTTCTTCATCAGCAACCTATGCAATAATATTGGTAGAAAAAACAAACAAAAAACAAATGTCTGTTTAGAGCCAGAATAGCATTAAATCTGTGTGATAACGTGTATGGGTTAACGCACGTCTGACTCCAAACAGACAATTGCTATGAAGAATTGTTGTGGTACTATGGTTTATCGACTTGACTCTGAATCCAAGGGTTGAGGATTCGAATGCCAGCCCAACAGTATATTGTCCTTTGACACGACCTTCATTTCCGTTTGCTACTACTCACCCGGATGTAATTTTTTTGCTGGTAAATGCTAGGGTGAATTGCAGGGCACTCAGCATTGATGCTCATGACATGTCCCAAATTAACAAAATAAGTTATCAAAATCATTCTCATACATTATCATCTGAAGATGAATCCTGGTCATACTATAGGAGTGTGAGAGAAACAGAATATGCACTGACAACTAATAAAATAAAGAAATTAAAACCTATGCTTCTAGTTATCTCCTTCTTTAATTAGAGAAGCTCTTTGAAGCTTTTGTCAGTGTTTATTTTTGTACTCTTCAAAAACATTTTAAAGGTATTATGTCCCATTTGCAGGCCAGAAAAATTAAAAGGTTAATTCCAATGGCATTTGAGAGATAATAGTGATTTAGGACTTCCTTCAAAACGAAAATGTGGGAAAATAACGACGATTAGATGTCGAATCGACAGAGGTGATTGCAATCAATCACTTATGTAAATAGTATGATCTTCGGACCCTTCATTGAATCTTTGCGCAGCACAAAACATACGACCATTTGGTAATAATCGTATGTTTTGTGCTGCCCAAATATTCAATCAGTTTAATTTTGGCCACTAAAAGAAGTGGGTAATATTATAGATGTAAGCAAATGCTGCATGTACCTGTTACAGCTCATGTTATGTATTTTATTACCGAACAAATAAAAATAAATCTGTCAGTCACTCAATACACCAGTTTACAGTTGTATCAGTGCGCTTGCGCAGACAGTTGACCTCGGGTAATTGGCCCCAAAATTGGGGCCAATAACCTCTGACCTCTGGTATTTATGCGTAAATTAAAATTGCGCCCATGCAAATGATGATGTGCGCGCACAACGCAGCGCGCAGGCAGTGATGTCATCATTATTTGCATAGGCGCAATCTTAATTTACGCATAAATACATGACTCCTAGGTCATTAGCTTTGTTTAAAATGGCGCACACAACTGTAAACTGGTGTATAGTGTCTGACAATTAAGTATAGAAAGTATACGGGTTTCCTTGCATAAATTTCACAGATAGGACATTCATGACATATTCATGTTTCCTGCAATGTTTTACATAATTTGATTTTGCTGCAAAAGGGAAATAGTATTTTTAAGATCCAAGTGATTTTTCCTTCGAAAAGCAACATACTTATAACATGTTGATTTACGCTTACTTTTTTGCCTGGTAAATGATATTCACAATAACACAGAGTTTGCATCTCACCTTTTCCTTTTGACCTTCCTCGTAGAGGTCACCGACACCACACCGGAGAGGGCGCTTTACAATTTCCGGTAGACAGCAGTACATTCGGTCTGCGATGGGGCTAATTAACATTGGGTTCAAAGTCCTAGGGTCATTAGCGCCTTCGAGAGGAGGGAGGTTGGGAGGAAAAAAATAAAAATGATAACTGACTATATGTAAAGGACAGATGGGTAGAGTGCTAATGCGAGGAGGAATGCTGCACACGATATAACATGCTCAAACGAATACAAAGTTAAAATCTACACAGGGTCTTTGCCACTGGATAAAAAGCGATATCAAATCAGTCATTATTTCAAACTATTCAATTATAGCTGTGACCACGAACAAATTGCTTTAATGAATTCAATCGGGCCATGAAGTAACATTTTCTTGTCAAATAATTGCGGGGTAATGTGGCCAAAAAATGACTTAAAAGAACATTTGTTCCTTTCATTTTACTACCATCTTTGCAGAATAACTTCTTTTGCCATCAGAATGAAGGTGTAGCCACAAAACGCCCTCTATTTGGATTGATAACATGTTCTTCTGTCCTCGCAATATCAGTCCTCCTTTTGACATGTTTAACGCATTTATACTTCTCCGCCAGTTTGAACTCGGTTTATTAAACGCACTTCCTCGGTCACGATTTATAAAAGAAAAATGTGACATACACAAACAAGAGAGCATAGTGGTATATTGTTTAAATCCCTTGACTCTCATACGAGAGGTCCCGGGTTCAATGTTTGCTCGGCCCTTATATCATTGGACAAAGCTGTTTTTACTGCATTTGTCTCTCTCGACCCAGGTGTCATAATCGATACCTGGCAATTCTCGCATTACTTTCAAAATCCTAATTCTTTCATACAAAATAACACATAACCTTGCCCCTAAATATCTTCTTGACCTATAGTCTCCTTTTCTGCCAGATCCCTCCGTTCATCTTCTTCCATGCAGTTAATTCACGGCCCACGATCAAAAAACCATTTCAGTGACCGTGCCTTTTTATCGATTGCCCCCGCCTTCTGGAACAAACTCCCAGCCCATATTCGAAATTCCCCATCCATTGAATCATTCAAAACCCTTCTCAAAACCCACCTTTTTAATCAGTTATAGTTTACTGGAGGCGCACACAATTGTGAATTCCATTCAATTCAATTGTATTGTATTGTATTTTATTAGTAATATTTTATTTTATTTTGTTGCTTTTAAGGTATTGAACATGTTGAATAATTATAATAAAATTGGACAGTACCACCTGTGCGCTTAGAAACGCCTGTATAAAGCGCCTTTGAAACGTTATTATTATTAGTATTATGCTGGTGTAATTATATTTGCGGAAATTACAGGAATTATTACAGTACTGATTTGGCTATACTAAGTAATTGTTATTATTGATATTATTATTGTTATTAGTCATTACCCGTCAAGAAGCTTCCAATGAGGGCCCAAAAGATCGTCATAAGCATTGCTGCAGCGCTGTACCAGGCGTATGACAAGCTATATAGACTGGCAATGGCTGGTCTGAAAGTGAACATATACAAGTGGGAAGTTTATAGAAGATGGAGAGGGAGAGAGAGAGAGAGGGAGGGGGCAGGAGCGAAATGGGACTGGGATGTCGTAGGGGAATTTCAATGTGAACGACCCATTTTACATATAAAACTGGTCCCCAAACTGTTCGTTGCCAGGTTTGCCTCAATCGGTGGAGACGATTTATTCCTGAATACATAATGATAACAATAACAATAATAATAATGACGGTAATAATGATAGCAATTATAATGATTAATGATAATAATATTAATTTAGTTAAAGTTTAAACTATCGCTCCCGAGGTAATATTGATACTTCATGATTAGACGTAAAGAAGTAAATTCCACACCTCCCCATTGGTGGCTCCATGGTTGAAGACGTCATCATGGTGTCAGACAGCGTTGTCATGGTTTCCAGTGTAATGTTGCATCCAGCTATGCTCAGCGGTGGCTTCTCGGAAGAGGGAGGGTAGATCTGTGCCCCTATGCCCACCCAGAGAGACCAAGTCAAGCCGAGCAGAGTGCCAACGAACGCCCCCTACGTCATAGACAGCGAGACACGGAGAAGAAGAGTGTCGGTAGGCCGTATTTAAACATCAGAAACATACCTCTACAATTAATCAAGAGAGTGTACCAAGTGAATGAGATATATGTGTATAGTTGACACATACAATAGATGGGCTTACTAATATTTTAAATGTGGAGAGGTCCCACCTTGTGCTGTTGAGGAATATCACTCCCAAAATTCTTTTTTCTCCTTCCAGGAAAAGTACAGTCCAGCGTATGATGTATCACGTACTATTAGGCAGGTCTGGTGTTGTGAATGTACAGTGCGAATTTAAAACTTTCTACAATATTCTATGTGCAGATAAAAATCCTTCATCCCCTTCTAACGAAGATGGACGTCTTGTACCTCTGCTTAAAAGCTTCAGTGGAGGTACAGTTGACAAATCCAGCAGGTAGCAAGTTCCAAAGCCTGATGGTATCAGGGAAGAATGACTTCTGGTGTACAACATATAGCACATGGTACAAATGACCCCAAATATCCACAGATCTTTCACAAATGGAGAAGTTCCACGTTGAGCATCTTAAAATAATAACTGCCAAATTCCTAGATGTGCTTCATGAATACTTTTTGTTTGTCCTCTTGAAAAGAATACTTCCTCCTGCGTATCATAGAATGTACCGTTGGTGCATAAATAAATAATGTTACATAACTTTCATGAGCGCATATCCAGTATTCATCTCTGTGGGTTTTACCATTTTGGTACAAATGACCTTTATCTGCCCATGCGCAGATTGTATCTATGAACTGGCTTATTGCTGGGAATACTTCATGGATATCATTTATCCCTCACATTAAAAAGAAATAATTAAAGCTGTGTATCATGGAGTGCACTGCTGTTGAATAAAAGGTTCACGGTTATCACATTTGACGTGCACGTATATAGTATTATTTTTACCGAAAGTAACTTTTCTCTGCGCAAAAGCCGAAGAATTTGGTTGACTTACCTTAGAGTTGATCCATGGAAAGAACATTCCAGAAGTGTAAAGTCCCAGAAGTGGGCCCCCAATCATTCCAAAAACACTGAAGGCTGCCTAAAGAAAACAAATAGGGGAAGGATTATGCATCATTCAGTATAGTTTAAGTAAAATTATTGTTATATTTAAAAGCATCAGTATAATATGCACGAGTATAAATATAAGTATTAATATAGTATAGTATGTATTAGTGTAGGTAGACTAATAAAAATACTAAGTATAGGTATATTTGTAAGTATCGGTATGTGTCAAGAAATGAAAAAGAGCCTCCATTTAAACATCATTTTCGAATGCCATCTAGTTTAGTTTTTCTCCTTCTTTAAACAAACACAAAACCCAAGTAAGAAAGTGGGTTTTTATCACGTGGATGTTTTTATGTGCACAAATTGCGTATTTGATTGTGTGTGTGTGTGTGTGTGGGGGGGGGGGGGGGGCTATCATGTACAATATCAAAACAATTACAAAATGCAATCCCTTCCCCCTCCCTCCAACGAGTCGAGTAATGATATAAATCACACAAAACGGAATTTATGTTTAACAATAGTTGATGCTACATACTGCATAATTTACTTTGATATGCATGTGGTAAATATTTTGTTTTATATTGAATACCATTACGTACCCCAAGAACACTACCGAGTTGCGAAGAAACAAATGCCATCGCGATGCTTAGTATCCCGAAGAAGAGGGCTAACCGAAAGCAGAAGAAAGACGAAAATAACAGATATGTTACAAGTTCATCACTTTTGACGCATTACGTAAAATATCATTTTATTTCATTTTAATTGCCCATCCATGCAAACATTTTTTTTTTCCTTGAACGCCCTCTGGCATGTAGAATAAGATCATCCGATGTGGAGGTTGTTGTTGTTGTTTTGGGGTTTGTTTGCGTTATCCCTCGATTTCGATGATTCCCGCCAGGCTTGGTGTGAGAGGGCGTCTTGCTCTCTCTCTCTCTCTCTCTATCATCTGCACAATCAGCTCTACGTTTCTGTGATTCTGATACTAGCCCAGGGTGGAGGGAGATCATATTATCCTTATTATATCGGTGTGGACATTACAGTTTAACGAAATTGTTCACTTAATCTACAAACTCAATAGGATTGTCAAGAGACTATTTTAATACAGTATTGCATAATTTGAAAAAATATAATTATGTCATATGCCTTGATGAAAATGCTTTTTATGTCTTATATCAACATGCGATTATTGTTCTATGTGATGGAATGGAATGGTTGAAGGCAACAATGACTAGATTTACGTTTTGAGCTTAAGTCAAATATCGTGTTTGTTAAATATTCAATTTTCATTTGACAAATAGAATAGTAACAATTAGAATGTTCGTATGTATGATCGTTTCTTGTTGTCGGTTATTGTAATTCATTGTTGTAATAGATATATTTACCAAGACCCTTTGTGGTCCATGTGTAGGTCTTTTCTTTCATGTCAGGCCAAATCGATTTCACGATGTCCTCGCCCACAACAGCAGCCAGAGAGTTAACCCCAGAGGACACGGTACTATATAGTCAAGCAATAAGAGAGAAGAAAGATTTAAAGCCCGTCTGTACTAGTTTTGCCAGGGGGATTAGAACACCCTGCAATTTCACTGACAGGTGGTTTTCTCATCAAATCAGCTCTGAACTAACATAAGAAAAAGAGGATCATGGGGGAGCAACATGCATTGATTAGGCATTGATTGCTATGTAGAGGGCGCAAGTAGCTATAAAGGGCTTTAAAGAATAGAAATTGAAGCTTGGCAAACTACACAATCGCAATGGCTTTCGATAAATGGAATCAAGGGCAATTTGAGTAAGTTATATTGTTAAGCCCATAGGATTCATCTTGCTTATGCTCAGAGAATGTATTACCTTATTGTAACATTCTTATATTTCAAAACGTGATGGACAAGACAATTGAAATTGCCTTAGCCGGGTTGATTTTTCGAAAGTCTTTTCGATTTTAAAAAACAGCTTGCAATTTTGAAGGGAGTATTCATAACTCTTACGACAGTTCCCCTTATTTCCAAACTCTAAAGGCAGTGAGACAATTAGCCCAAAAGGCATAACATACATAAAAAGAGAAGCCGCATCATAATCGGCATCCCACCCACATTGTGTACAATTAAGAACTTACTTAATACAAAGACTAAATATAAGCCATGGTACATCTAAAGAACTTTATGATAGAAACAGATTTGCAAAGGAATTGTGTCGAATTCCCGATGCGAACGGACGACTACGGGTCTGTGGTTATCCTACCTGAGAGCAGCACTGAATATGGCCGAGGTAAATAGGCCGGGTAGCCCGGGCATCTTGCCGAACAGGTACATCACAAAATATGGCATGAGCTAAAAAGAGATAAGAACCAAAAATGTCATGAAAGTACAAGTACATGAACTTGCACAATGTATTGAAATTATGTGTACTTCTACGGATAAATTACACGTAAATCATTAAAAACAAGTATAACTTACTGGTAAATACATACTTTGTTCCCATGTGCATTGCGGTTTATTTCCCAGTGACTGCACCAGATGGAATTACAAATGACAGCGTGTACAAAGCTCGCAGGCAGCTAAACCCATGTCTAATCCGGAATTTACTGATGGAGACTCGGCTAGCGTTCGAATGTATTTCTAATGTAGAATTCGTGATGAAGAATTTTCTTCATACGGCTGTTCAATTCCCCTTTAAAACCCTTAACTATATATGTCTAGAGGCGTTTGCGATTACTATTATCATCATTGTTATTAATATTATGATCATTTTGTCTATTAATGTCATTATTATCATTATTATTATTATCATTATGCTTAACATTATTGTCGTTGACATCATCATCAGCATCATCATTATTATAAATGCAGTTGATATTTGTTTACAGTGCTGGAGGTGTTTCACAAAGACTAAGATTGACCTTAAAGTTGGACTCAACTATGGCAGGCTCTTCATGCCACTGTTTGCTCTCACCATTGTTGTAGAATAAAGTCTTAAATATACAGGTTCACAATGTAAGTAACTTAATTTCTAATACAAAGAACTACCAACATATTTAAATTCTATAGATTTGTGACGCTTTTGAGAGACCAATGGTGAGAGCAACTAGTGGCATGAACAGCCCACCATAGTTACGTCCAACTTGAAGTCGATCTTAGTCTTTGTGAAAAACTCCCCTGGTCTTTACCTGGTCTGATTTGGAGACATAGCCCATGGTTAGCGGGTCACAGACGGCGAAGTTAGCATACATGACGATACCCGATATACATGCTGCTGATACAACGATTATCATACCAATTATAGCCATGAACAGGGACCTGTTAAGATTGTAGTCATGATTGAACAAATGTAAACGATTATGATATTATGTTCTTTTAAAGTTTGAAAGAAAAAATTGTATTGGACAACGTCAGTTAGAAAAAAGATGGATATATCTTGATAATTATGCCATGTTACAACACGTCTGATCGTGTAGAATGTCTGTAAACAGTGTGTTCTTTAGGTCAAGTATAGTTTTGATGGTTTTTTTGTTCTTTGTTCATTTTTAGTTAGTATACTTTTTGTTTTTGTTCGTGTTATTACATTATATTCCATTATGTTTTTGTTTGTCCAATGGACGATTATGCCGTATTTTGTTAGTCTGCGTAAATCTTAACAATCCAATCACAACTCACTTACATGTACAAAAAGGAAACTTATAATTTCTTATATAGGTAAGACAATAATGTAATTTTTGTATTATTTTTTGTTTATCTTTCTTTTTCTTCGTGTTTGTATTTAGATTGTTCATGTGGTATTCTCCACTTTTCATCTATGCTTGCCATATTGTATAGTACTGTATTTATGTTTAGCATAGGCTAGGTTTAGATCATTCCTATTTATCGATATACTTTTATATTGTTGTTTTGTTGTATTCTGTATTCTTTGTATTATTAAGCTATGTTTGTATTCTTTATTATGTATCATTATCATGATATGTACATGTGTTGTACTTTCATACCCCAGAAGGGGGTCGAATGAGTCAATAAATTTTATTCTATCGCACATACGATTTGTAGGTATAATTCTAGACTTGACTTACAGTAAAGCAGTCTTTTCGGACCGACATGTGAGGTATCTCTGGACCTGTGCCTGGTTGACAGCGTAGAGAGTGCTCCAGAAGAATGTTCCGCCTACGACGACTGTCCAGAAAGTATGGCGTACAGTCGGGTCCGGGTTGAAGCTAGAATAAAAACACACAAAAAAGAGGGAAATAATTTTCTTACACCTGTATAACTTTTCAAATGTATACATGCATATACTTATTCGCGTCTTCTAAGAGTTGGTTGATTACGTAAACTTTAATCAATGTCTTTTTTTTAGTTAGGCTGCTCACATTTAGCAGTCTCTTTGTCCATGGCGCATTTATATCTCCCGAAACCTATCGATCAATTACCATACATTTTACCTGATTCAAATTGTTTATCCGGAATGCTTTGCGGCCGGCTTATATGAATCTTTACTTTTATTTGAATGTGGAACACATAGGCCCGAATTCACAAAGGAGGTTTGTCGATAAACCTTACTTTATGTGCATCATATGACGCGTTTCGATGCGTTTCAGACCAATGTTGAGACAAAACTTGGTCTGAAACGCGTCGACACGTGTCATATGACGCACATAAATAAAGGTTTGTTTACAAACCCCCTTCGTGAATTCGGGCCATTAACTTCAGACTTCAACGTGGCACTAACCACTTACTCCAAAATATCAAGTCGCCCGCCTTCTCCGGCTATCCGCCAAGCTTCGTTGAAGCCGTCAACGTTCATTGACCCTGCTATGATGACAGCCAAGAAGCCAGCCATCATGACGGTCACTTGGAATGTATCAGTCCACAATACTGCTTTCATACCACCCTATATGGATTGAAATCGTGAAAACGTTGGTCATGAATTATACAAAAATGACAGATGGGGACCTCATGTCGCCCCTCGCTGATATAATTCTACACTTCCACATTATTTTATTGTGCGCTCCACACATTGGTTGTGTTCTATGAAACTGACTTGTTTTGGACTTTACTACAGCCCTTAAATATTGGGTCAGAATACTTACAATGGTCGTATAGAATGTGCAGACAATACCAATCGCTAAAACGGACCCCCAAAGGTCTAGACCGCTGACTGTAGAAATAAAAGACAAAATGTTACAACATTAGAGAACAACATAAATTCCGAGAAACCACGTAGCGTATTGGTTTTTTACTCGGGGTCTCCTGCCAGCCCATCCCCCCCCCCCCCTTCCGCGTGCCACCGGGGCCTACTGTTTTCGTCATATATGGGGCATAAATAATAAAGCACTAATCAAATCTATTAAAACTAGCATTACATGGAAACAGAAGAACAAGTATTGCCCATTTATTAAAGCATTAATTTCTGTTTGATACAGTAGCAAAGGATCTTCAAAAATGGATGACCGTTTATCCAAACAAGTTTAGGGCACTGATACCGTTTGTTTCCTTGCACAACTAGAACATAGATTTTTTTATAAAAATGCATGACATTTGTTTACATTCAGAGCTACAAGAAAAGTGCTTTTAACTGACTGACAGAAATCAATGTTTGTATATTACAAAGGAAGGTTCTAATAAATTATGTCCATTGAGATAGGAAAAGGAATAGGAAATTATTAAGGAACTCTTTAAAATATTCTGGAATGTTTACCTTGGTTTAAGGCAAGTGCCGGGGCGTAGATGACAATACCGAGGTATAAAATCTGTAGGCAAAATGATACTACATCAGTCACATACAAATGCAGAATACTTATAACGGGCAAATACTTCGAAAACAGCCAATAACATGGAGTGGATAGTGCTTTCATCATCAAATGCTTTCCCCTGTTTACAAAAGGTTTAACAGAAATTCTACAAAATCAATTAGTTTTTGGTACATGTTTCCTGAAAAATAATGATTTGGATTCAATTTGCTTTTTCTTTTTGTGCCCTTTATAATCTCTAGTAAGTGCCCCTTATCAAGTACGAGAAGTGCCCCTTTTCACTTTTCATAAGTGCTCTCTTAACCTCCGATAAATGCCCTACACAAATCTGAGAGATGCCCTTTTTACTTTGACAACTGCCCCTCGTGCCTCTTCCCCTTTTGATAACTAACCCTTTTCAATTAACTCGGATAAGTGTACCTTTAATTTTTACATGTGCCCTTTTCCTTTCTAAAAAGTGCCCCATTGTCGAAATATACAAAATTGTATATATTTGCTTTGAGATTTCTCTTTGTAGGTGCCCCTTTTCCAGAAAGTGCTATTTTTCGTTGGTGCCCGACTTCCCCCACACTTTGGAAGTCGCTCGGCCGCCCCTGCTGAAGGATCATTAGCGACCAAGCGACCGATTAGATTTATTTAGATGAATGAAGACTGGTACTTTACTAAGTGAGCAATATTCTGATATCTTTATAACTCAATTTTCATCAAAAGTGGATAAAGCTCGTTTCGGAATTATGCTTTACATAATTATACAGAAAGAAATGATAACATTAAGTTTTCCATATTTACTTTTAAATATTTTCGCAAGAGGTTCTTTATTCATTTGTTGGGCGGTCCCCAAGCATAGACATTTTTTTAACGAAAATGTTATGCAAACACAACGGGACAATCTAGGGAGGCGGACAACTTTTCAAAATAAAGGGCAATGTCAATACCTCCAGTGGTTTTTATTTACACTTTTTAGTATATAATATATATCAGAAAGCAAGAAAAAAAAAACTCATTCAGTGATGTGTGTTATATCCATATTAAATAACTAAAGAATGAAATATATTACTAGTATTACAAGAAAGGGCAAGTTGTATTCAAATGAGAAAAACAAAATATATCTATATAACTTTTGAAGTTATGATACACAGCGGACATACAAATATTAAAAACTAAAATGTTATTATGGATATTGCAAAAGCATATTGATATAATTATTTCAATAATGTGGTTACAGGTTGGAGGTAAAAACTAAAAACGAATTCAGGTACCATCTTGGTGATATGTCTCTCGTTATGTTTTACTGTCATGATTGGAAATCTAAAATTAGACAAGTTACCATTTGCAGAAGATACAGTATTGTCCCCAGTAATCTTGTTGGCTTGTTAAATCGTTTCTCGAGGTACTGTAAAAAAAAAGATAGTATGACTGTCATTACTGTGTAGATAATTTACAACACAAGGCAATATTCAAACTGCCCACTGATTAAATCATCTCCATTATATCTTCATTTAATTTATTTTCATTAATTGAGCTTTGTGAAGGCATCTGAAAATAAGGCTTCTTGACATGCTTAATCCTGTACTTAGCATGATTAGGATGATTGTATGGATAATGGCAAGTTTACAACATCGTGAACGATTGTGGCGTAGGGCTTACTTCGAATCATCGGGTCGTCCAGTCGGACCTTTTCCGAAAACATGCCCCTTTATTCACGAAATGTAGGGGGTGACATTGTGAGATAAACCCCTCTCACGTACAAATTATCCGGTCCCATTTATTCGACACTTAGAAAATACCCTTGGGAAAATTTACGAAAAGTCGCATCCTTTCATGTGCATCTTCATATGATCTTCCGCTTCCGTTTCACGAAATGTTGTGCAACGCGACCACCCGACTGGACGCGAAAACCCGGTGATTAGCGTAAGCGTCGCCGTCTTGTGAATATTCCGTGAGTTTGAATATTTACTCAATAGTAATAACAATAACGATCTCGAGTATCTATGAGCCCTAAAAACAAAAGGTACGGTAGCGCATACAAAATCACCGAATTTTAAGAGGAACATGACACGTATCAAGAATGTAAAATATATTGTATTACTGAGGGAAGAAATATGCTGTAACATTGTTTTGGAGATTTGTTTAAAGTGGAAAAAGATGTTGATTCATTGCTTCGAACCAATAGTAGACTTATTTAGCTAAAATCGATTTCGATTTGATAGTAAAACAGCCTAGACGGGATTTTGAAGCGTTGCAATCGTGCTAAAATTTTTGCAAAGAAGTGTCTCAACGGACAGCTTTATGGTGTTTTCAAATCTTTGAAATATGATTAGTTTCAATAACCCCATATTTTGAATAAGTCAAATTTTTATGTTTCAATGCGTCATACATAATGTGTGTAATATCCAACTTTAAAATGTCTATTAAACCGGTTTATTACTTTAATATCATAATGAAATTTAAAGCAATTAAAAGGTCTTCATCGGATAATACATATTCGGTCCACAAAGTTAAATGTTTACGGTTAGAAAATGCGCGTGGCATCCACCCCATTGTTATTATTCCGTATTTTTGCACGAGTTTTAGCGTGGATGCCTTGTATTACCCTAAAATGCCATGGAAACTATTTAGGGAGTCTTTTTATGTTTGGCTGGTCCACTATAATATACATGTCACCTTGTCACCTAACGCTTAGAAATTTCGGTGGAAAGCGCTATATAGAGATATATAAGCACCGTTTGAAAACAATGAAATTGTCCTTGGCATGGCAAAATGAAAGGGCACAGTAGTTCCGGTGGGTGTTTTATTTGTCCCTGTGACTGTTTTCCGGAGATAAATATGAAAACTTTAGAAATCACAGTTGAGGTTTCCTATTACCCGATAAAAAGAGAACTTGTTTGGAAACTTTGTTTACACAACGTTTGAAACTAAATTGGGTGAATTATATTCAATACTAAATAATGATCAAGAGTCAGGAAAGTTATGATCATGTACATCTGGCCTTTCAGAGACAAAACGTATTCGATGAGCTATCTAGGATAATTTGAAGCCCTCCCCTGAAAAAGATTCTCGCTTTTCCCATATAAGTCTATATATGAAAAAAGGAAAACAAAGGTAATTTGGTGAGGGTGCATGCTATTTATGTTTGAACCTGGTTTGAACACGTTTTAGGCACATAATGTCATAAAAGTTGATTTTGTTTACTTCTTGACTTGCTTGCTCCTTTTGTGTGTGTGTTGGGAGGTAAGGAAAGTAATGATTAGAACAGATTCCTACCTCATTAGCGCTCGTCACACCCAAACGATAAAACGTTGGTAGGAAGAGGGACGTCAGGAATCCGGTGAATATGAAGGCTATTCCGTACAACCAGTACATGGGTCCATTCAGGTACATTTCGGCTGGCGTCCCCAGTACGGTGATCGCAGAGATAAAACTGGCCACCAGCGACATCGCAACGGGGATGGGGTTCATGTTACGATTCGCGAGCAGAAACTCACGTGTGGTTGACTGCCGGCCGCCGGTAAAGGCGTAGAAGACCCCGATGCCGGCTGACACGCTAAGCATCGCCGCTAGGACGACATAGTCCCAGGCCTGGAACAGTCCGACGTCGTAAAACTCGGCGTCCGCCATGTTATACCAGACGTATTCCGTGCTACTTTATAAAAGCAGATGATGTCCCCAAAGCAAACCAAACTGATTAGTAACAATTAAACTGTGTAATTTCCCGAGTGGGGGAGGGAGATGCTCGTGTCTCGGTGTGACGTTGCATAGACAACTTTGCAAAATGTCCGTAGCCCCGTAAATATATTGTGACTAATTTTTTAAATATTGAAGGCAGTGAGTTCATGGAGTATGTTTTGTCGATCAAGAGCAGGTACTACCTGAATTTACCATTAACAGGATGTTCACTGAAGGATGTAATTTTTTCACCAACTAACAGGGTGAGTTTGGAAATTAGTCAGAGCATAGACGTTCATCCGGAAACACAGAGGTCAGATTATATTTCCAGTATTCTGCCTTTGGTCTGTCTGTCCATGGGGTGACCTATGAGCAAGTTTATTTTATCAACCCGCCAATAAATGCGACGGGTGCATACTGATTCTGCGCTCGAATAACATACTCAATTTCAATTGACAAGGTCATGCATAAACCAGCACGTATGGAATTGTTAGGGTCATATTCGAGGTTATTAAACTTGCCCTGAACGAAACACACTTGAGGGTATAGATTCGGTCATTTGATCCGTGTTATGAAACCGATTATCAACCCAGCCATGACCTGTGTCAGTGTCTTTTAATCCATGTACTTTTTCTCTGTTGCGGGTGGGTGATATGCATCGTATGTTGGTGTTTCGCATCAAAACATACTACATTGTGTCTATGTGTTTGAGCATTAACATCAGCTTTCTGTACAGACTAGCTGTCCCCTTTATCCCCCCCCCCCCCCACCATATCTCACCCCTCTTCATTCGCAGTCTTAATTCATTGGAAAGAACTAGCCCCCTACCCCCTCCCCACTTGTGATTTCCACCAAGTATATGCCTTTTTTACTTGATTAATCTTTGGTCGTTTCTTTGTTTTATATACTTATCTGATGTTATTTGTTGTTCTTCTTCTTCTTCTTTTCTCCCTTTTTGCTTTGTTTTGGTGGTTTGTTTTACCTGACTGCTGTATGCATGTAGATGGGCAAACAGGGGACTAGAAGCTCAAAGTGCTCTACATTAAAGCGCCATTTCGTGTGTTTTGCTGACCAACATATTACTATTTCATTGCACCTTTTATTCAAACAACCTTGATTTAGGTCATTCTCTTTTTATCAGAATATCCACAGAATATGATAACAAATACACAGCTACAACATATATATGGCTTCAATATGAATATCATCAAAATGCCCTGAGGTACGTGTAGAGCACTTCAAAACGGTTGATTGCACATGATATTATGCAGCAAGTACAACGATAGACTGTGATGTAAGCTGTAGGATAGGGAACAACTTGTTCATTAACAGGTGAAAATTTGGGACAGCTGAACTAAAATATTTATAATTGAAAGAGGAAGATAGGGGGCATAGACACCAAATAATTAGTTTCAATTTGGAAGAAAAGAAATCCTATCGACACTCGTCGATATGATCACGTTTTTATCTATAATTGAAAGTACGCTTAGCCTTTGAGGGGGCGGTGTCGAGGGAGGGAGGGACTCTCAGCAAAGTTAAGGGCGAAGTGTAAAGAAACGATGAGACTTGTTCTCTAAACAGAATTTGTGCTGTTGATATGTTTAAAAGACTCCTCCACATTTATTTTTCTCAAATAGGCCTTACTTCAGCTGCGACCCCTTCCCCAAACCCGACAATGATGACAATACTTATAATGTTTTGTTACAAAACTAGCATTAATGCCATCAAGCGCACGAGCACGCACACCCACTCATGCTCATGCACCCACGCGTGTAAACTATATAGCCAACACCCCTCCTCCTCTTCATCTGATACTCATACAACAAGAAAACACACCCACTCACCTGGGAATTTACCTCTATTATTCATGAACAGTTAATGGCGAACTCAAAACACAATAGTCAATAACAATACATTCCAACGGCATTTGAAAGATAACACTAATTTAGAACATCCCTAAAACAAGTGGGGCTTGAAAAGTCTTTAAGTGGGAAAATAATGACTATTAGTTGTTGAATCGACTTAAAAGCTATAGAGCCAGTAAGTAATAGTCTGATTTTCAGACCATTGTAGTTTTGTACCGAATAGTCGTACGTTTTATGCTGCGCAAAGATTCAATCAGTTTAATTTTGGCCATTACAAGAAGTGGGTTATTGATGTTGAGAAATGCTCATGTACCCTTTTCAGCTCAATGTATGTATGTATGTTATTACCAAAGAAGAAAAAACAGTCTGTCACTCAATAGTGTCTGACAGTGAAGTCTAGCAAGTAAACATGTTTCCTTGCATAATATGAATATTAGGACACTGCTAAAGTTTAAATTTCACAGATAGGACATACATGACATATTCCTAATTCCTGCAAAGTTCTACATAATTTGATGTTGGCTGCAAAAGGGACATACTATCTTTAAGTATTGGAAGCCCCAACATATTGATTGCAAGATTTCACCTAAATTAGATCATAACGTGTAAGAGAATGTCTTTTAAGACACATTTCTGAAAAGATTTTCAAAACAAATGTCTTTAAAGTCTTTGAAGGCGAAACCCACGTACCCCTTTCTTGCACAGGCATGATATTCTCACCATTAATTTTTTTAGCAGATGTTTCTGCATTTATTAATAAATCAAATATAAAACATTCAAATAACAATAATAGTATATAATATAATTGATTTACATAAAGAATGACAACTTAAATACACACAAATAAAAAAAAAAGCTTGAAAGTATCGATGTAAGTAAAAAATAATCAAGATAAATGCAGAGGCCAACTATCATAAGCAAGAATGCTTGAGTCGATAGCAGCCGGGAAAGGGGGGGGGGGGGGTACATGGCGCTGTTATAGGAGTTTGTAGTGGAATAGAGTGTCACGTATACAAACAAATTTTAGAAAGTATCTGAATAAAAAGTGGAAAGAAATTAAAGAAAGAAGAAAATTTTGCAAGTGTGTGCAAGTGGGTCTGTGTAGGTGAAGTAAGTGTTCGATACGTATTGTTAATGAACTGGTCAGCTATTGACGACGATGTATTATTATTATTCTCATTTGTCCATGGTCTCTACAATGCATTTGAATTAACTAAGTGTAAATGTTAGGATTCCTGGTAGAAGTTTCAATTGTTTTTATGGCATTTCTAGCATGCACTCAGTAGATTCCGCTGGTTCCAACATTTTTTTCTTCTTCTGACTTGCTTTCAATTACAAGAAAAAAAAGCACGCGATCTTAATCTACCAGGTGCATGCCAAACTTTTCTTTACAACAAGACCAAATATTATTATACTACTTTATGTAGCGTCACATGGTAATCACTAGTAGCAGTAGTAGTTTAATTGTTATATCATTATTATTATGACATGGAATAGCAATTTACTATTTAGGGACTCAATGAAGAAAAATGTAGTTCATTTCACAGTCGATTTCATTTGGTTGATTGGACTGTTCGCTGGAATTAGCAGAGAGAGATGGAGGTGAATATTTTCACGATTACCGTTGACATTGTATCGCTATTCGTATTTGTTCTTCGTCTTTACAATGCTATTTGAATTAAAAAAAAACTTTAGGGACTCAATGATGACAAATGTAGTTCATTTCGCAGTTGATTCCACTTGGTCGATTCCAGGCATATTGCTCCCATTGTCACATTTTCGCTGCGCTATATGTATTATTATTTATTATTATTATTATTATGAAAAGTGTAGTTCATTTCACAGTTGATTCCACTGTTAGTTCGTTGGAATTAGCATTCTCACCATTATGGACGACCTTGTATTATTATTCGCATTTGTTCATCGTCTTTAAAATGCTATTTGAATAAAGAATATATGTTATTGATTGATTGATTCGAATTTATTACATTTCATAAATCAATTGCTGATTATTATGAAATGAAACAGAAACCTACCGGAAAGCATCGCTTGTTTGTGTAGGTTCGCAAGAATAAATATAATATGAACATTATTTTCACCAAAACAAAAATCATAAAACAAGATTATTTTTTTTGAAATCGTCATTCACGCGTATGTCCTCCTGATAACAAGTTAGTCAAGGCCGTCTTATTGGAATCGTGTATGCTGCTGACTGATTGTCGTACTGCCTGTCTGAGTGTTTTCTGTTAACACAAAACGTACCCTACGAGGTGGCACAGCCTCGGCTTCGTGGGCACCATGGCGTCAGATACTAGATATGTAAGTCATGATGGATGATATTTCTTATATAATATTGGTCTTTGCACCTCACGGTTTTTGGCGTTTGTGCAACTTTAGTGTGAAATATAACACTGTAAGACGAACTACTATTCCAGTGACAGATAATTCAATGAATTCTCATTCTCAAACCGTAGGCCTAATGGTATTACCATAACTGATTAAAGTATCGTGAGTAGAATAATAGATCTGATAAAAGGGGAAATTTTGCACTTAAAAAAAAGGGGGCTAGATTTTATTTTTTAATTCATGGCGTAGGAGACAAAATAATGCATTGTATTATCAATTGCAGATTGAGATGTGTGTGTGTGTGTGTGTGTGGGGGGGGGGGGGGGCTCGATCGTTGGACACATGTCAGTCAAGTTCCACCGTCAACCCAATCTGGTACCACGAGAAAACATGTACCCTAATGACCCAGCAGGATTCTAGCCTCCAAAGGCATCTGTAAAATGTGATAACTTATAATTAATGAAATTCCCCTGTTGCTTGTGTGCTAGAATGGTAGTAAAGAGGCTAGCATATTCCGTTTTAGCCACGAATTTACTCGACGATCGAATCATATTTGATTAATTATATTCCCCTCGTTCAGTAATAAAGTTGGTGGTGGATGTGACTTACGAATTTGAATTTTAGTGCTACCACATTTATATAAGTGAACAACAACTAGAAAAATAAATGTACGCATCTTGGGCTGTAGGATTGTATCTTCTGATTTGATCGTAATCCAATCTGAGCCATCGGAGTAGGACTCTGATATATTCGTTTTACAGTTAATTCTACTCTGTTGGTTCCATTGATTGGGATGATTTAGCAGAAAGAGATAGAAGTGAACTAACTCACGATAAACGACGTCCTTTTATTATACTCATTTGTTCATCATCTTTAAAAAATCTATTTTGAATATTGTGATGACAACAAACGACACCGTGGTTTTATTTGTATGTAGCGCCACAGATAAATGATCATTAGTACAGGGCTTAATAATTTAAAGAAAACTGAATTTAAACCCTGGGATACTCTCTCTCTTTGTCATTGCCTTCCTGTATGTAATGTGCATGTGTATGCCTCGATCACAGAGAAAATTATCACTAATATCGCTGAAAATATGCCTCTTCTTCCCAGTCTTCCTCCTCTCCTTGTCCTCTTATAATTCTTCTTCTTC